TTTCTGCTGAATTCAGTGAGAGCTGCACTGCTAAATCTTGTAGCCTGCTTTGCAGACTGATTCCTTAGCCTTTCAACTGCCTTCATCACCTACCTCAATTTCCAGGAGGGGCTGCATCACCAGCAGTGTGACCAGCAGGTCAAGGGAGGTGACTCTGCTCCTCTGCTCCACTGAGACCCCCCTGCAGTACTGTATGCAGCTCTGGGGCCCCCAACACAATAAAGATGTGGATCTGCTGAAGTGAGTCCAGAGGAGGCCATGAAGATGATCCAAGCGCTGGAGCACCTCTCTTATAGAGACAGGCTGAGAGAGCTGGGATTAGTTAGTCTGGACGAGAGAAAGCTCCAGGGAGACCTTAGAGCAGCTTCCAGTGCCTAAAGGGGCTGACAAGAAAGATGAAGAAGGATTTTTTACAAGGACCTGTATGAATAGGACAAGGGGAATAGCTTTAAACTGACAGAGGGGAGATTTACATTAGATATCACAAAGAAATTCCTTCCAGTGAGGGTGAGGCACTGGCACAGGTTGCCCAGAGCAGCTGTGGCTGCCCCATCCCTGGCAGTGTTCAAGGCCAGTTTGGATGGGGCTTTGAGCAACCTGGTCTAGTAGAAGGTGTCACTGCCCATGGCAGGGGTGTTGGTGCTAGGTGATAGTTAAGGTCCCTTCCAACCCAAACCATTCTATTATGATGATGATGAGTACGGTATCTTTACAGGTGCTGGGCTCAGCTGAAGAGACGGCTTGGTCCTGTTTCCAGGTTGCACAGGTGTGCAGGATGATTATGGGATGACTTCATCTGTTGATAAGGGAATAACACCACTGGGCATCTTCATCAAGCACCATGACATTTATTAATGTTTATTGGTTTGGGGTTTGAAAACCTTTAGAGTTATGGCTCGTCAGCCTTTCCACTGTCTGACTGCATTATGTGCATTATCTTCTTAGAATCCAAAACCAAACTTTGCAGCATCGCTAAATACAGTATTCCCATCTGCAGATGGAATAAGTGAGCCAGTGAAAGCCCACAGCAAAGCCGCAGTCAATGCCTGGCACCTGTAACTCCCAGACCCCTTAACTGCTTTTACCTCTTGTCTACCTCAAAGATGCTTCTATGACACTTCTGTCCTCTTCTACAAATGGGATATACCCAGAGTTATCTTACACGCAGAATCTTTTAGAGATGAACAATCACTTTCCTGAAGTAGAAAACGGTTCAACATATACTGCAAAATTAAGTTTTCATGTCAGGTAATTCAATACTTCATAGTTTTCCAAAGGATAAAATCCCACAGACAAATGAAGACCTCAAAGTCTTACTGTCTTCAATACCAAAACACAAAAAATATTTTTTGTTCTTCCTCTGAACTATCAAAAGTATGCAAACCATAAAAAAATTAAGCTGGAGGTAAAAATGAAGAACGTTTCTTTAACCAATTGCATTACCTGGAATAGTTGCAAACAACAGTTAAACCGTGGTGTAAAGCAAGATTAAAGCAGCAACTTAATTATTTTTTTTTAATTTTTCCCCACAAATCCAAGAGGATGTTTCTAAAACAGTCTTTCCACTGTTCTTCACTAGTCACCACTAGCAACCATCAGTAATTTCTCTTAGAAGTGTATGGTGGTTGCTAGACTTCATAAATATAGAACTGTCCACAGGGAACAGATACAACCTCTGTCCATAACCCAGCAGATGAGGGACAATGCATGAAGACTGGGAAGTAAATATGGGTGTCCTCCAATGTAGGGAAAGGTATGGCTTACTTAATGGATTATTTAGGTTAGCCCCCATTACATGTCTAGAACTGAGGGGTGGTGGAGGAATCTGTATTTTTATGTCATTTCCCAGCCCATATGCAAGGAGAGATAAATGCAATGTTTGCAGAGTTTAAGACAGAAATGCTACCTAATATACACAACTTTTTTTTTTCAGTATATTGCTTTCCTAATTAATTTATGGCTTTTAAACACTCAACTTTTACCTCACTTAAAGGTACATTTTTCACATTTCCATTTAAATCTCCCTTCTTAACACCAGGTCAAACTGTGGTCAAGGTCAAACAAGCACATGAACTACAACACCCATCCTGCTGTGGTAAATTTGAATACATTTGAATAAATGATTGTCGTGGTTTAACCCCAGCCAGACAGCTCATTCACTCACTCCCCCCCTTCTTGCCCTCCCCCTACTCCTGGAGGGACAGAGAGGAGAATCGAAAAGAATGCAACTCCCACAGGTTGAGATAAGAACAGTTTAGTAACTAAGGTATAACATAAATTACTACTGCTGCCACCAATAATAGTAATGATAAAGAAAATAACAAGGGAAGAGAATACAACATCGCACCACCAGCCAAGCGATAACTCGCCCCCCTCAGCCTGACCAAGCACTGACTGATACCTCCTCCAACCCCGCAGTCTCCCAGCCCTTCCGGGTAACTCCCAGTTACACCCTGGGCATGACGTGCTGTGGTATGGAATACCTCTTTGGTCAGTTTGGGTCAGGTGTCCTGTCTCTGCTTCCTCCTGGCCTCCCCTCCTCCCTGGCAGAGCATGAGGCTCACAAAGTCCTTGGCCAGATCAAAACATCAGTGTTATCAGCTCTGTTCCCAGGCCGAAAGTCAAAACACAGCACTGCACCAGCTACCAAGGAGGAGAAAAATGACTGCTACTGCTGAACCCAGGACAATGATCCATCACAACAGCATCCAAACCAGTTACATTTCTATCATATTAATCCATTCTTAAATTGGTTTATGAAGCTTTGAATTAAACACTCAGTAATTAAATAGTGCACTATTTTTAAAATAGGTATACTTAAATCATTGAAGAATCAGTATTTTTGCACTGGACAACAGTGCAAGCAGCAATTGAGCAGCCATTTTATTTACAGCTCTGGAAGGTTTGGAAAAAAGGCAATATGATATAAGCATAAGAAGTAGGGTAAAAGTAGTTTTGTCTTTGTACTTGCTAATACACCAATCTTATCTGAATACATCAAAGATGGCCCACTGAAGCAGGTACACAGGCTTTTTGCAGCTTGTTATAAATGTATCATCCAGGTATTTTTACTTAAATAGATGACATCGAACAAACTATTGAAAATGCCTGAAAACAGGCACAGACAAACGCAATGAAGAACCTTAAAACCCCCCGAGAAACCAGCACAAAATTATTTTGGGCTGGACAGATGGTACTTTTCTTGGAATGACAAGTGCAGTATGTGAAAATACTGCAACAATTGCAAGTAAGACAATATGAATGTTATCTTCTGAGAATATTCTAAAATTCAGATTTCATAATGAAGGTTGGAATTGCACCAAGTTACCTGCTTATTAGAACCTGATGAAAGAAAGAATATCCAGTGCTTGTTTTGCTTTGTTTTCTATTTAACACACAGATGCTCAGCATAGCATGTAGTTCAGGACCGGACATGCATGGAAATAAAATAGATCTGACCATTGATAAATACTGTAAAGTTTTTATTGTGTTTTGGCTTAGGAACTAAACAATCTTTCCCATCACCTACAAATACAGCATTTCTCATCACCACTGAGATATGGAGAACTTGATGTATCACTTCCCGTGAATGACACTGACATCAGCCAGAAGAGCAGTCAGTGTGGCAAGTGTGGCATCCATTCCTCTGTTTTATCTCAATCTATGCAACGGTTAGTTGTTGCACCAGGCATTTTTAAGAAGCTGAGTGAATTTGCTGTCTCTGCTGTACTTCCAACTAGTCCAAGAGTAAATGAGCAAGACTGAGCTGAAACCCTACCACTAGACCAGTCTTCAAAAACTGCTTTTGTTGCATTATGTTGCATCTGAGCCAGGCATCATAAATTTAACATTAGACACTTGCCATTAGTGATATTTTGAACTCAATTCTGGAACTAGTAAATGCTTTCTGCAAGTCAATGGAAGGTGAAGGTGCTCACTTTGCCATGTGTCAGTACACCAGAATACTGTAGAGCTTCAGATGAGCTACATCAAAAATGTTGTTTTATTTAGCAGTCAAATAAATCAATGCAAATCACCTAATGCATCATGGATTAGATACATTTAAAAAAACCCTTGTTTTTATTAAGAATTTTGTGAACTATGAAAAAAGTGTCACATAACAATTCACAAACCAGAAAAAAATTGACATCCTGGACTGCATCAAAAGGAGTGTGACCAGCAGGTTGAAGGAGGTGATCCTGTCCCTTTATTCTGCTCTCGTGAGACCTCACTTGGAGTATTGTGTGCAGTTCTGGTGTCCTCAGCATAAAAAGGACATGGATCTGTTGGAACAAGTCCAGAGGAGGGCCACAAAAATGATCAGGGGACTGGAGCACCTCCCATATGAAGATAGGCTGAGAAAGTTGGGACTGTTCAGCCTGGAGAAGAGAAGGCTGCGTGGAGACCTCATAGCAGTCTTCAAGTATCTGAAGGGGGCCTATAGAGATGCTGGGGATGGACTCTTCATTAGGGACTGTAGTGATAGGACAAGGGGTAATGGGTTAAAACTTAAACAGGGGAAGTTTAGATTGGATATAAAGAGGAAATTCTTTCCTGTTAGGGTGGTGAGGCACTTGAATGGGTTGCCCAAGGAGGTTGTGAATGCTTCATCCTGGCAGTGTTCAAGGCCAGGTTGGACGAGGCCTTGGGTGATATGGTTTAGAGCGAGGTGTCCCTGCCCATGGCAGGGGGGTTGGAACTTCATGATCTTAAGGTCCTTTCCAACCCTAACTATTCTATGATTCTATTCTATGATATTTAACATTTGGATGGCAACATTTGAAAAGATACAATGTCAACTATGAAAAACCTGCTCACATATTTGCAATGCAAAGGGCTTCTGCAAAGAACATCTAACATATGCAGCCACTTTCATATGTAAACCAAAAATATATCTTGATGAAATAACACAAATGTAAAAACAGTTATTTCAAATCAAGTGCTTTGGGCAGAAAAAAATTAATAAAAAGCTCTTCTTTATTTGAAATTAGTATATAACACTGCCAATTATATGTGTTAGACACTACAAACCCAACCAACAATGCTGTTTGTTACTTCAGACAACATTCAAAGCACATTCCACAGTATTTTAAACAATTTTTCTAAGAAAATACCATTTATTGATACCTTGCTAGTGACAAACCTTAGTTGCTGAAGTAATAAAAAATCTTCTATTGAAGAACTTGCTTGTACATACATACTAGCAGAAATATGTAGTATCCCAACTGGGAGTAAAATATTATTTTGTGATTTATATTTAATTTTCAATACTTACAGCTTGCTGAATTTGTTCTGGGGCACTTTAAACAAGAGTTTTCAGAGGTCCCTGAGGTTGCAGAAATAACCAAACTACTCAACTAGGGGCTTAGAAAGGAAAATAGGTATTTAAATTAGAGGCAAACAAGGTTAAATAATTTTAGTGACAATTAAATTTAAAAGCCACTAACAGAAAGAAAGTCAATTTCCCTTTTTTCTCATACATGTATTGTGGACTACAGCGTAGCTACTCACTAGAGCATTAGAACATAAACCCTGCTCAAAATGAGACTGTAGTAAGTAAATAATTCTGCCTGCTTTCCAACAGTTAACAAGAACTACGTTGATTCTCACTCCTGTTCCCCAGAAAACATTTGCTGTGGCTTTTTAATGTTTGGAAAAATATGCCAGTACAATATATTCGAGAAGCACTTCTGAAGGTGACCAAAAGGAGAGTTATTGCTGTACAGTCACACTAGCTCTCACCGCAGGACTGGCTGCTGCTCGTTCTCTTTCTTTAGCAATCTCCATCTCTATTTTGGCTTTGATTTTATTCCAATCAACTTCCAGCTGTAGAAGAAAAGTGAGTATGCAGAGGTCAACTAACATACATAAAGAGGTCAAACAGATATATTAACAGGACAATTGTAAGTTATAATGACAAAGTGACAGTACCAATCATATAGTTTTTCACATATAAGTGACAGCTTATACTAATGGATATTAATGTATGAATGCACAGCTGAGTTCTAACAAACTGAGCTTTCCACCTTAAAACAAGCTTGACATACTTTAACAAATACTAATACATCTCATTGTGTCTGGCAAACAAACCTCCATTAAAATGCAAAAATAACTTCAATCAACTTGCCTCTAATTTAAATATAATGACATCTGTGTCCTATTACTAAGGATATAGTCCTTTATCAATAATACATGCGGCGGTGTCTTTTGACTGCACCGAAAGGCCACCAAGTAAACTGATAGCATATTACACTAGTTATCTGATATAACAGAAATCAGATTTCTGCTTTAAATTTGTCTTCTACATCAATAAATGTTTTAGCTGTATCTTGGCATTTCTCCAGCTGCAGCAAATTGTCATCTTCTGGCTGTATTATATTTCAGTGAAACTTCAGACAATCGATATAGTACAGTATCTCTGGTACAGTGGGGTACAACAGTAGTCTTTCCAAAAACATTTGACAAGAATGGATCATGGTGTATTTGATGACTATAAAAATATATCCAAAAACTGGGCAACAATGTAGTTGCAAAGTTCAGTTTCATTGCTGGAGACTTAAGACTTTCAAAGATGGGATGGGAAAATAATCTCAACTGCTGCACAGGGAATTTTCACAGTACTTGTTACACTGTTAACTAAGTCACGAAATAAAAGTGAAGATTCTCTACGAGGAAAGATGTAACTGCAATCCCCACATTCTCATGTGAAAAGGTCAATTTAGGATGCATTTACTGAGTCCAGATGCTTTGGATCTGATGACTGAAATCTTTCTAGCACTCTAAAAATTAATGTGTTTGCTTTAACAGAAGTCACACAAATGCTGAACATACCACATATAGTGCTAATCCTGCCATCCAGCCCTGAGAGCTACTTGCCAGTGAAGACAACCCCTGCCAGTGATGTCTAGAAACTGCCAAGATATGGATTCTCAGTATATAAATTACTTTCATAATACTTCATATATAAAGACGTGAGATATAACAATGAAGCACATTGTTTAGATTCTGTATCTGATTGCAGGTCAGTGCTTTCAGCTACAGTACAGAAATGAAGTAAAAACTCCTTACTTAAGCCTCAAGGAACTTTAGGTGGTGCAAGGAAAACTGAGACCTCTCTTTTTCCCTGAGAAGGAACAGCGGCACCAAATCTTGCTTTTCTCTTCAATGCCCTTCACATTTCCTACTACCTTTGCTATACCAGTCTGACAGGCTGCATTAAGAATTTAGTTACCACTGTACCCAAGAGCTTTAAAATCCACTTCATTAAGCAGGTCACCTCCTAGTTTCAGATCCAGACAACAAGACCTTCAAGAACATAGATACAGGAACATCCTGCAGTTCAAGACCAAGTTTCAAGACTGAGTGTGAGATGAAACAAGCTCCACTGCTCATAATTTGTCACTGACAAGGTGTTATTGCTAAGGAAACCTTCCAGAAACCACGGCTTTCTTAATGATTCCAAGATGAGACAGTATTATCTACAAAGTCTCTTTCAGAAGCATCAGGGGATTAACATTATTTTTTCTCAATATTGGATTTAAACTATGTAGAAGACATACTTACAGCACAGCAGTCGAAACTGCTCCACAGTAAGAGTGCTTGCAATCTGTTCTGCTATTTTCCTGTATTTTCTAGGTAAAGTACCGCAGAATGGTTCATTGCAGGGCTAGATATTGTGCAGACTTTTATTCTTGTTTAGGAAATGAAACATCCTTGGACTTGCTGAAATCTAATGACTTACATTAGATATTAAGCTTTACTGAAAGTGTAATAGGCACTGTCCAATTAAATGATCTCAGCTAACGGCTCTGATGTATTTCTTCATTCATCAGCTGGATGCAAAGATCTGAGACAGTCAAAGTACACATCTCTCTTCATTAGCTTCACCCTAAGAACACTTAGCAACAGAGCAAGGGGAAGAGCAGGAAGGATGTAAGGGCTGCCCAATGGAATTGCTGTCTAAGGTGCACATGTGGATGCTTTTCATAAAGGATATGTGTAGAAGTACTCGAGCAGAATCTAAGCTACTTCTGTCTTATGAACTATTAAGATCTGTCCTCAGTCTTTAAGATCTGTGAAATGCTAGTAAATGAAAATGACCTATTGATGATGGAGATGTTTTCCAGAAGTTGGATGAAATTGTATATTTAGCTATTTATCATACTTGGCAGAACAATTCATAGTTCACTCTTAATATATATATATATGGATATCTTCAAAGTTTGTTATTGCTACTATCCATAAAAATACATTCAAATGCTGAAGACATTTTAGAGGTACACATTCAACCTGCTTGTCTACCTACCTCCCTGTTCACAGGAAACAACTATGCCTTCATTTATGTAATTCTTGCCATTTACTAAATATATACATACCATATTTGTGGCTTCAAATAAAATACATGCACAACTAGTGCTAGCCAAGTAGCCACACATCAAGCTATGGACTTGTACTCAGATGCAAAATCTTAAGATTTGTGCCCATATTTGAACGAAGGGAAAAAAAATACTAAAGCGATTTCCCCTACTGTCCCAAACCAGCTACGAAGAACAGACTGACCTAAAGCTGTGAGAACAATTCTGAGGAATACTTACACCTTCTGCGTATTGCAAAAATCTTTTGTTTGTTTCTTTTCTACCAAAGTCCTCCAGGAACTTTTGTCGATAAGCCAGGACTGTGTCAACATGTGTCTTGTGCTTTAATGCTAGTTCTAGGGCCCTGGAATAGAACAGAAATGGGCTTGTCAGGCTATATAAATGCTCTGGCACAACTACAATCACCACGGTTTTGCAAAACAATACGCTGAAAAGCGTTTGAGCTGCAGGCAAAGATTCCTAATCTATAGTGTCAAGTAGTTTTACATTAGTATCAGTCACAGGAGGTTAACAAAAGTAGCCAGTGAAGGAGACCATCTGCTATATGATACATACTATGAAAAATAGCTAGCAACTATTTCTGTTGACAACCTCATCATATCATTAGAATTTGACAACAGGAGTCTTTTTAGTTCAAGAAAATAAACCAGAATAGTTAAGAGTTCAGCACTCTCAATATAAAGGGGCAAAAGTAATAATTTTTAATAATTTCACTGCAGTCAGGAATTGCTTCTGAACAGTCATAGTACATATCTATGGTGTATGCTACACAGCATTTACGAATATTCAGTAAGTGGTACAGATTAGTTATTGGATTAGTATAATTGATCACTCTCCTATCTGCTTTGTTCTCAATGGCTTAAGGAATACTTGGTGTGAGGCATCCCTGCCCACGACAGGGGGATTGGAACTAGGTGATCTTATGGTCCTTTGCAACCCAAACCATTCTGTGATTCATTCTATGATTCTATGATTGATCTGTACAGTTTTTAGCTGATACATATTAGGCAACATAATAAAAAAACAAGTTACGTAGGAGAAAAAAACCCACAACTTTTTGTCCACAAAGATAAAAATATCATAGCAGAGAAATTAGTAGTAAATGGCCTCAGAAAATTCTGTTAGAAAATGCGGGGTTTTGTTTAAAGGAGAAATTCCTACTTTGCTTTTTCAGGACTAATTCATACTTCATCCACCTACACCGTGCTGGGAGTCTGAATAGCCACGTGTCTATTTTTAGCAACAAGACATTTCAAAATAGCCTTAATTCCTTGAGGGTCACATACAGCTTGAGGTATCACTAAAGACTTTTCTGTGTTAACAGTAATGAAAAAGCAAAATGTTATTTAAAAATACTTCCAAGCATGCTTTGGACTTTGACCACAGAATACTTCTAAATATGACAGAAAGTTACTTCATTGGTTATTATCAGCATAAGATTTAATTCATCTTTTTACAGCTCTGGGCAATTACAGATAAGAAATTAGTCAGCTAAGTATCTGCAATAAAGCCAAGTGTCTTGAATATCTTACAGTTACAACAGTAAGACTGCTTATAAACATACTGTGTTTGAAGAAATACTACCTATCCCAATTGTAAAGATTAATGTTGACTTGAATAGCTTGATAAATAAGGCCTGTCTGAAGAAGCAGGGTTTCAGCTTCTTGGCTATTTCCACTGAAGAGCAGCATATGAGCCATTCTGGATTCTTTTGATGGCAGATCTTTGATGGAATTGATATACTGAACTTTGTCAATCTGTTAATGAGAGGTACACTAATTTAGTAAGGAAAAATAATTATTAAAATTAGATTTACAACAATTTAACTGGAAATAAATAAGTCCATTTTCTTACCTTACCAATTGATGCATAGGCAATTTCTGCTGTAGCCATCTCTTTGTTCGCAACTGCCATAGCTGCTAAACATGTCCACATAGTTTGATCCTGGAATTTTAACAGAAATGCAACTCCTAAAACTTAAAATATTTATTATTGTGCTAAAAATAACTTCTCACAGGAAGTATACGAGTCCTGAAAATAATGTATAACAATACAACATTTCTCAGTGTGACATTTTCGGCATTTTTTGATCTAAGCCTCATTATTAGAAACTCACTACTTAGTTATTTCTCAGAACTCCTTAATTACAAAAGCATTGATGTTGTGAGCAGCTGAGACTGTGTGGCTAAATGAATCCTTAGCTTTTAGCATCTCAACCAGTAATGAACTCTTGCATAGTATCACTTTATCACTTCATCACTGGTTTCACTGTCACTACTTGTGGAACTATGCTGGAAACCAAAGCACTGGTTGTAGTTAGAAAAATTATTTTAACCTGGCTAACCACGGATGCTGATAATAACTTATCATAAACATACTACAAACGAAAGAGAAAATAATTCCGTAACAGTAGAACAATTAACCTGATGAGGCTGTAAGAACTTCAGAAGTTGTCTCCTTTGCTATTTTCAGTACATTTTATATTTAGAATTAAGAATTAGGAAAAATCAGTAGTAACAATAATATCACAACCTTGCTATGGTCAATAACAATTCTGAAAATAAACACTTTGCAATCTGAATTGGTTTTTAGAGGCAGCATAGGATTACTATTGATTTAAATCAGAATACACAGCTACATTGAGTATGGTCTAAAAACATACTCCCATGCCCTGTCTCACAATCGCTTTTGTATGATAAGACCCATTGAAGCTAATGACATACAGTAATGCAGCCCAGTGCTGTGGTTTCACTATCACCACCTCTGCCTGTGCTCCTTCTCTGGCCATGTGTTCCCACTCTTTACCATGATTCAGGGTAATACAAATCTTCCTACTGGTAGCCTGTAATTAGGGAGAACTAACGTTCTTCAGAGATGCTCATTTATGATGCTCATGAAATCATCATGTTTCTCTTCCCACTTCTGTATTATTTAGAAAATAAGGTAGCAAAATGCTGAAAGTTCAGCCTGATAAATTTTCTAGAAATTTTTCACTAGCTTTTTATTCCCTCTTTCCTCTTGTTACTTATTGGAAATACTTCAAACTGTATATTGCCACCTGATACAGACATTTTATTTTTAAAGCTGATGAGTTTAGATAACTCAAAAAAGTTAACATAATGCTGTAGCTGAAATTTGAAATCCCAGTACCCACTGCCCAATACTGGAATAAAAACCTATTTTGAGTACCACTCAAAATAAAAGTCATTATACAACACAAGTTACTGGGATCCATATTGATTTAATAATGCAAATACAAAAATAGATGACATACATATTTAAGGTTATGATAATCACATGGAAGTGCTAAACTCATTTCTAGAAGTAAAAGAGGGAAAGGAAGCAGGGTTGTGGGGGGATTTTTGTCTGCTTGTTTAAAAGACTGCCAGACTCACCTCATCTGTTGCTGTTGCCTAGATACATACAAAAGCAAGCAAAGGAAAACAAAACAAAACCAAGTGAAATAAAAATATGAAAAAATACAAGGCAACTGTGGAGATGCAGATAATTTTTAATCAGCTATATTAAAGCTTAGTCCTGAAAATCTAAGCTTATTACTAACTTCTGTGTGTACCTGTGTTCAATCAATCTGGACTCTGTTGTGAATAAAAATAATTTTTATTATGTATAGAAAAAAATTGCAAAATTCTTTATGTTATATTACGTAAATATGAAAAATATATGATTTTTTCATCACCAACCCCCAAATAATCAGCAACAGAGCACAAGAATGGAGATGAGATGTAACATCTGATATGCAATTACCATTATTAAAGTAATACTGGAAAACATAAATATTACAGTGAAATTGCATCTGAACATTCCAAAGAATTAGGATTACCTTTGCAAAGCGGCACAGTCTAACAGCATCTTCCCATTTAGAACTACTAACATATTCATGAAGAATCGCAGGATAAGGTGAAATATTAAGGTGAGTAAGTGAACCATCTGCTCTTCTAATTGTTATTAGATTTCCTATAAAATGTACAATCTGGGGATTTTTGCTAAATTCACTGGGTAGAGAAAAAAAGGTAAGTTAATATTCACTTCTTTCTTACTGAAAATACTGTTAAGAATTTAAAGAAATCTTTGTTTCAAAATAACATGATTATACTTCATTTTCAGAGCATGTAAGAACCGAACCACCTAGTTATTTAATAGATGAATCCAACAGGCAGTTCTAATGTTCTCTAAAAATAAAACTATAGTTAGTTAACCACATTCAATGGCTGTAAGGCAAATACAAACTGGGTATATGCGAAAAAAAATTCAAATACATTTTTCAGTAAAAAATACTTGGGCTCTCATCACTCTTAGGAGGATATAATTAATTCAGGTAGTCTTCATGAAGAATTTCACAATGCATACAGGCTGAAGTAAACATGTAAAGTAAACATGCTGAACTGGAAATAATATTATCTGTGACCCAGTATCTCAATACTTTAAACAGATCTTTTTTATTTTTTATACAAACTACTAAAGCAATATTTCATGAGACATGATAATTTTTGCTTTTGCATCAAGATATTATTGTACTCTTAAACTGTGCATCATCATTTCAACTCCAAACTTTATGATATACCCTATAAAATACTTCTTCCTAATTTCCTAATCATAAACAGTAATATAAAAAGAATTTTAAAAGTTGCACACTAGTTTCTACTTTAACTGCCAAAATTAACATATTTTTTTAAAGAGGTAGTAAAAAAAGTTAAAATATATACGACAACTTTGATCAAAAAGGATATATTACCTTGCCTCATTTTCATACAGAGTTTTTGGCAAAAGATCTTTATCTACATAAACTGTGTTGGGGTAGTACCAGACTGTAAAACAGGTATCTTGAATCCCACAAAGAATGTTAGATGTGTCATTCCAAGCCAAAGTTTGAACCATCGTCCCTTAAAGATAACAGAATAATATGCATTTCCACAAGAAAATTCAAAATGAAGAGACACTTCTCATACTGTACTAAAAGTATAACTATTGGTTGGGTTTAGGTCTTTTCATAAGGTCTGTTTTTCACTACCTAGTTTGTAAGGTAACCTCTTACAAACCTGCAGCAAAATTCACTTCTCTTTCTGAAAGTTCTTTTCATAATAAAGTTTTTTGCACTTAATTGTAAGACTTGAAATAAAAATTAACTCAATGATCAGACTGCACCATTGCACTTACTGGATCATGCACCCATTTACGGCATTTCAACTTTTAATTAAAAATATGAACGTCAGAGATCTGCATTTGCAAGAAAAATGACTGAAAGATTCTGTATTGAATAATTCTGAGGAATACATCCGTCTCCCATATCCTTTTAGCTGCTTGCTCTGGAATGCAACAACCAGCACTTTACACGTAACTGATATAAAAATTATCAGGATTTAGATAAAATGTACTAAAGTGGTTTCTATTACTATCTTATGAAAGCCACAGGACTATTTCTAATGTTTCTTCAAGTCCAATTTCATGATTAAAATCAAAATTTTGACTCATTTACTAAATAAACATCTATTTTCCTGACAGCTTGTACTTAAACATTATTTTGAATTTTTCTTACCTATTTTGACAATCTTCTGTTCTTTTCCAAACCGTTTAACTGAAGTAATGTAAAGATCCCTGTTCTTATCAATAAAAGCTATTTTTCTTTCACTTGTAAGTCCTTTCTGGTCTAAAGCTATCTCTACAATTTCTGTCTGAAAAGGAAAAAGAAAATATCTGAGTTTTAGTTCGAATATTTGTATCACAGCAAGCATGTGATATACAAATGAATGCTTTACTAAAAACCAAGGCACAAAACTCTTGAAAAACTGGCCCACGAAGACACTGTCTATTCTCTGCTTGTATCAGGCATTCTATAAATTGAATTTCATGCAGATTAAACCAAAACTGCAACAGAGTTAGCAGTTTAGGAATTTACTACAAAACTACAGAAATACAAGTGGCATTCTCAAAGCAAAAGCTGCCTAAAAGATGTTTCCTCTCTTAAAAAAATGCTGACTAATTTTGCTTTTTTTTGTATAGCAGGGAAGTGAAGAAAAGTAAAATGCAGTTCAGGCAATAATTTTTATTTTAAGTAAAATCTGTAAAAGCTCAGACTGAAGACAGGCATCCCTGATGTTCTTTTTCTTCAGTATTGACAACAGGTCAGCACTGATAAAAGCTGGAGGACATGCAAAAGAAATTCAGTTGATCAGTTTTAGTGCATAACAAAACAATTTACCTGTAGTTTCAAAATCATATATGCACAGGAAACACGCCAGTAACTGAACACAATTTATAGTATGTCCCTTTGTACATCAATGCTGCATGAAGAATCTGATTCTCGTTATTATATAAGAGTCAGCTAGAGTTGTCAAGCTCCTTCCTATTCAGACTGTAAACCTTTAATAGCTTATTAGACCCATTACTGGGGAAACCCACTATTGATTCTTAATTTCAAAATATAATTAAAAAGACACATTCATCTTACCTTATGCGTTAGAGGCTTTCCATCACCCAATGGCTTTCCAGATAAAGCTTCAAATATGTAGATAACTGAAGAAAAAAAAATGGTTTATTAGTTAAAAGCAACAGTTCTTAATAGATGTTTTCAAGCAGTTATTTTCCTTTATAGAGCATTATTTACCGCCAAGGGTGTGCTAGATTTACCAGTGACTTTCATACTCTGGTGAAAAAAGAGTATTACTTTGGGGAAAATGTAACCACCATAGTCTGCTGAGCTTAGGGACAGTCTCATTTTGCAATCAGGCTGATCTGAGAAAATCCTCAAATATTATTTTCAGAGCATATATAGCCATTGAAATACAACATTATGGACTGAAAGAATTGAGAAAACGAAAGTTTTACTTCCTGTCACAACTCAAATGGCTATTTACAGAAATGACACTAAGTTCTGTCTGATGCAAGTCTTTACTCTGCATTCTGAATTAATTAATGTTACCAAGGCTGACAGATTTACTCAATCTTAACCCACAACTTTGATGAGCATGTACGTTTAGGAAGCAATACCATTAACTGATACATTTTCCTACAGGAATCAGAATCAAATATATAGAAAGATGTCCTGTGAACTATTGAGGAAAAACATTCTTCAGAAGAATTCTGTATTTTGTTAATAACTGCTTTTTTTATGTATTTTTAATTTGGTGATCCCTAGGCATATTTTCTTCCAGGGCAGTTTAGGGTTTCTGCTTGTCATTAATACATTTATAACTGGCTTCCTCAAAAAGTATCTACCTAGATATACTTGAATTTTATTATTTTGATTTTGCATTTGTTTCACTCTTTCCCTGTCCCACCCTCAGAAAAAAATCTTCTCAAAACCCCCCAAACCATCATCATCTGTATTTCTGGGATATACAGTGAAGACTCAAATTTGCAACGTGTTTAAAAATAGTTTCTCTTTGATTCAGTCTATATGTATACATACACATGTGTGTGATGCACACACATCCATATAGTCAGTGAATAATATACACACAAATTCAGACAGATGTAGGTATTTAAACCTAGAGAAAACAGTAACATTACGAGGAACATCAGCTGTAACTTAAAGCACATGATTCCATGTTAGTTCCTAGAAAACACTGATGTGACAGAAACATTTCAGCTGTTCAGTAATGCTTCTCACCTGTAGTTTCAACACATTACCTGTAAGTATACAATATAGGATGAATATACACCATCATTCCAAAGGATGGAGATGTTAACATGTTAATGCTGCTGTGCATCTTTCACCAGGATGCAGGATGTTTGAGGTCAAAAAAACCCCAAACAAACCAAGAAAACCCAACAAACCTGTAAAAGCAGGTGTTCAGAAAGCATTGGCTGAGTTTGCAGAGGAAGAAAAGAAAGGGATTTGCACATGTGTTGGTCTTGGCAGCAGGCTAAATATATGAAAGAAAACTAGTTGCTCCTGAGAAGTGTTATTTTTCTCACTTTTATGCATGACTCCCTGCATGAAATTTATTTTGATCTAATTATACAAGCCAATTCTACTGCTACTATACTAGCTGTACGAAGTAAGATTAAAAGAGTTTTAAAGAAAACTACTGTACCTAATTGCCAAGTAAGATTTTTCATTAATCTACAATGTTTATTAAAGGATTTCAGAAAATAAGTTTGGCATTAGGCTTTGTTTTGGTTTTTGTTTTGTTTTGGTGTCGTCCTACCCCTCCCCCAAATCTGGAAAAACTCCACATCACTTTACAATCATTTAGAACCTAAAATGTATCTCTTTTTTAAATGTATAAATTAAAGATATAAGCAAAGGGCATTCTCTCACTTTGAACACTCAGAGAACAGCTACTGTGTATCTTTAAACAGATGTTCTATCATCATGGAATAACCACTTGCAGGGTCACCAGACCCCTTTTGAGATCAGGCTCACCTACCTCTTCAGCTTCATTAGAGATTGAAGGGCTGTAAGCACAGAGCTACCAGTTTTGTGGTTTTTTTAATAAAAGAGGAAGAATATCCAGGTAACAACACTGAAGCACAGCAAGTCATACATCTCCCTGTTTCAACAGTAAATTAGCTTGTAGAGAGCTCCACACCACAATGCATAAACTGCTTCCTGTATCAAACTGAGCTATCATAGATACTTCTATAATGCAGCACATTATGCCCTCAAAATAGAGCAAAGGAAAAAAATGCTTCTGCTGGAGCGAGTTGAGAAGAATAAACAGGCATAGATAAGCCACAGTTTCCTTTGCCAAGCATCTTTTTTCCCATGTGCTAGCATATTATAAGGTATTTTATCACTACTAGTGGGGCTGACATCTAAAAAAACCCAAAACCTCACCCCTACTCATTGCCCTGATGGAAGCTGCTGTCAACAGGATCATTTGGAGAGCTCATCTGGTAAACATAGCCAGAAACCCTGCCTCTCTAAATCACAGGCTTGGTGAAGATTAGCTTGCATATAAAACCAGCTGATGTGATTTTTTAGGACACTCATAGGAATGATTGGGAGACGGAGATGCTTTTCAGTCTGTTCAGGAAAATGGGCAGGAGAAAGGGGCAAGCGAGTTTAACATCACAATCTTAAATATGCATGCACATAGACAGCAGTTAACATGGATTAATTTTATCTATAACCTTAATTTATTTAAAATACTTCTATTGTTTTTATTCTGACTGCCTCAAGGTGTCTATACAACAATAAAACAAAGTCTCTGTATTATGTGCATCAAGTAATATACATACATGCACTTGTGTAATATAGACACACACGGAGTAAAACAAGATCAGAAATAAAATACAATTTATCACTTAACCTTCTTTTGTAAACTATTGTGTTTTGCTCAGTAATTTACACTGAAATGTGTTTTTGCTGAAATATGTTTTTGCTGATTAAAATCCATTCTAGTTATTACAGTTTTTATGTCTTGATGCTTGAGAATAATATTTTTCTGAAGTAATTTTCCTAACAATAAAATACATATTACAGTTATATTACTACTTCTAAACGATGATGTTAAAAATACATACTGCCTTTAAAAATAATTAAGAATAAAAGAAAGTATCCTCACACAGAAAATAAGGATATACAAGAAAAAAAATTAAAAGTTCTATGGAATAGCAAAAATGCTTTGTAATATGGAAGTGAGAAAAACCCCACTTCGTTTTTCACTTGCTTGGGCAGGAATATTTTAAGGGATTGTTAGAAAGGTTTTATTCATTCACCAAGCAGTTTACCTTGTAGGTTAAATGCTGAGAAAACAACTATGTAATCAGTGCTAAAGGACTAACTCCCTGTCAGGGATCTTCTTTTCTACTTCACACTGAAAGGTTTTTCTCTATAGCAAAAAGTAGATAAATATGGCGGTTCTTTGCTGCAAAACAAAGTATTCTAAAATTCTGAATGTTTAAAATCTAATCATTAAGTCTAGGAGAGCAGTTATAGATAGACAGTAGACTGAGTTAGTGTCAGTTGGAACCACAGGCAGGAAGTTTTCACTGTTTCACTTTGCAGTAACAGCACCTCCCACAAACAGTTGCTCCGACTAGTAATCCCTTATTGGCTGTATCGCAGGAGAAATGCAGCTATAGATAGCACTGCCGCCCTGCACTGTCATATCTGTACAGCTTATAAATGGCACAGTTAGGGAGTCAAAAGTCATAGTGCCATGGGTTTTCCAGCAATGGAAGAATCTGTCTCTTCCAGACACTTAAAATTTAAATTGTTGCACTAGCAAACCTACACATTTGCCTCAAGGTATTGAGAAAAGGAAAAATGCTGACTGACAAAAATATATTCCTGTACCACTTATAAATGCCAAAACTTACCTGAAGCTCATTTGGCCATGTTGTGTTTTAGAATTACTGGCTTCTGATGCCAAAACACAAAATTCAAGAACAAAAATATCCAGGAACACAACGCTGAGACAGAACATTGCAGACTCCTAACTACGGTCATATCAGCTGCATATAAAACTTTCATGCTGCAAAAATACAGCCCCCCAAAAAGCTAAAGAACATCTGAAAACTAAAATTAATCACAATTACTGTACTGGAAATTACTGTACTGGAAGCAGGAGTCAAGCAGAAAAAGTTGCTGAAGTACTTTTTTAGAAAATCACATCAGAGAGCGAAAACCTACTGTTCAAGTGCTTGCTGCAAACATTCCACTCTTCTTTGATGCATTACACACAATTGGAAATTCACAGACATACCAATCTTTCTCTAAGTTTTTTAATCACTGTTAAGCAAGACTCATTTTAATTCATTTTTATAACTATTATCTTTAACTTATATCACAAATAAATTGTTTATGCTTTATAGTTTTCTTTCAGCATTAGTATGCTAAGTAAAGTTACATGTGAAGATGCTGAAAATCTCATACTGAATTATTAGTAAACATGAAACTATCAGAACGAGAACTTACCCTTTTCATCAGCTTTGTCTTTTACTGCTAGAGTATCATTACTGAGAGATACTGTCTGGGCATTTAAAATGTCTGTTCTCATTCCTGGATATTTTGGAGAGGAAATTAATCTTCCTTCATATGAATATAAATAAAGTCCTCCACCATCTACAAGAAGAAAATGCCTACAAATAAAACCCCAACAAAAAGGTAAATTGTTAAGTAATACAGAACAGCATGATGACAGTTTCAGCAAGTAGAAAGCAACTGTCTAACATCCTGCAACTGCTTTGAGTTAACTACGTAACTTCTAGGCCTTACATTTCAGACCTCATATACTAAAAGATTTTTATGGAAGATTTCCGTTTTAATGTGAACATGGTCTTTTACCATGAGAAATACTATCTGGAATCACTATGATTTTATCTGTTATAGGTATTATATAATTTAAATCTTCTAACTCCTGATGACAAAGCATAAAGCTGCAGACAGTACTCCCCATACATCACCCCATGAGGTAACACTGTGTGTGTGTATATATGTGAGAAACAACTTTCATGGTTACAGCTAGCTTTGAAATAGTATTACCTGTATTATTTTCCTTAGTATGTCTACATTATGATGTAAAGCAAATAGAAGACACTTTTAACGAACCACTGTCTGTACACGTAACTGTTGAGGTTGACCGGTTTTACCAAAACCATAGCTTCAATTCTGTGGATCACCTGCAGTACTGCAGAATATGTGCCAGGTTTTCACAATTTACTTTTAACTGGCAGTGAAAAATTCCAAATCTAGAAACATCTTCAAAATCCCATCTACTTGTTTACCTGTTCTCCACTGCAATATTTCTGCAGGCTAGGACATAAGTGCTTCACTCAAAAATGCAGTGAGCATTGTGCTGCAATGTGCTGAAATAGTTGTCCAATAGTATTTGTCCATGAGAATTATTAGTATAACAAAAACTCAAGATTTTTTACTTCTGCTCTTAGTGCTTTGAAAGACTTTCTATAAAAGCATACCTAAAGATCTCTTTGACAAATGATTTTCAGGTATTACAGATTAAAGTTTTCTTAAACTGAGAAAAAACAGTAATTTCTTGCAAATAGAAATACAAATATGTAAGAAAAATTTTTTTTTTCCTTTTATCTGGCATACCTGGCATGTTTTAAATAAAAACTGGAGACAAAAGATAATTTATATAAAATATATTCCAGCTAAAAAAGTAATATGGAACATAAGCCCCCCACACATGTTAGCACAATGTCAGAAAACATACTTTCTTCTGTAAATGAGAATACAAACATACATAACATATGGAAGATTCATTACCAACATCACAGACTTATGGCAAATATACCAACTAAGCTTCACATGCTACTTAAAAATACTGTATACTTTTCATCTATTTCTAGTATTTCAATATGTGTTTATCTTATAGAGCAAAGTTTGAGGAAACGCACATGCACATCTAATAGTGAGTGTTACAATAATTTAGCTACCTTTCTGCTTGTAGAATCAAACTAACTGTTCCTTCCTTCAGGTCAAAGATCAGTGGTGTATTCCAGTTCTTTACACTGAAAAAATAAACTCATCATCCATTAAGACCGTTCACCTTCACATATTATTGAAAATACAAAGTTGAATTTGCTAAGTAAAACACACTTTAATCACCTAACATTCCTAAAAAGAGAGGTCTTCAAAAGGAAAATAGCATTTGTAACACTGACAACTATGCAGTATGATCCCGGCTTTCATGTTTGCACCCCTTTACACTACCAGTGGCTAACCTAGAAGTTTCAGTAAGCAGCAAAATCATACTTACAAATGCGTTTTTTAAATATTTCTGAATTGTGGTTCAACTCTTTTACAGTCATCTGGAGGTAGGAAAGAGCCCCTCTCCTGTGTGCTCTATTACAGGCTGTGTTATTGTTTAGCATTAGTCATGACACTGAAGAGGTAAATGACTTTAGGAGTAAAGTTTAAATATCAGCATATGAAACAGTATCATGTTCTTAAAATGTAATGCAGGATTCAATCCTTCCTATTCTGTTCCAAAATAATTTCATGCTAGAAGCGATATTGAAAAAAAGGAGTCCCTAGACAGAGGCACAGATACACCCAGCCACTATTTCTGCTGCCTCTACATAAAAAGAAAGGCTGCCAAATTTTTGTAGCCAAATGAACAGGCAGTCGTAGCACCAGCAAGAAGCTGAAAGGATTATAGGGTGAGGGCAACTATACTCCCACAGTTTGTTGTAGATGATGCTAGGTTCCATAGAGTATCTCAGTCAAAAATTAAAAAATTGAAATATTAACTACTGTACTCTAAACAATGTTTCTGCTAGTCCTTACAACTGTTAAACTTGAGACAGCTTCATGAATTTATTTTACTTACGAAAACACGTAACACTGAAGAGAAGTTGAAACAACCAAATGCCCATAGTTCAAAGAGGCCTTAATAACTCTGTCACGAAATTCCAATAGATCTACTGCATCATTAATGACATTGTGCACCTAATCAAAAGAAAAGTGTGGCTGAAAAAAATGACAATAACTGAAATGAAAACTAACTAGTGAAATACCATTTTCTGTCTTATTAAAAGTACAGGCTGGTACGAGTATGCCATTAGCAGAACATATCTATGTAGGAACAGCCACTTTCAGAGCAGTGATGAAAACTCAAAAGGTTCTATAAACTCTGGTTTATAGAGGTTTATGAGGTTCTATGAACTTTATAAACCTCTGAACCTCTATGAACCTTATAAACCAGAGGTTTGTAAGGTTCTATGAACTCAGAAACAATGAAGAGCTGGATGGAGTTCCTTAAAAGAAAGCAGTAATTAACATGTATTTAGAATACATAACATATAAGCAGAATACTACACCTGCTGTTGAGAAAACCATCTGAGATCAGGGAAGTGTGAAAATTCCTATTTTAAGACTCAGTGTTCAGTTGCTGACTATCTAAATGTTTGAAATATAATATTTCACTAATCCCATAGAAACAATTCAGCAATGTCCAACATTAGGATAGATACATTGTCTAGATGTAGAATAACTCTAGCACACATTTTAATGGTAACACAATCTGAAGTAAGGGAAATTTAGGAGATGGCCTTGGTGACCAGTAACGAATGGTGTCCCTCAGGGATGGGTGTTGGGACCGGTCTTATTCCAACATCTTTGTCGCTGACATGGACAGTGGGGTTGAGCGTGCCCTCAGCAAGTTTGCCGATGACACCAAGCTGTGTGGTTCGGTTGATACGCTGGAGGGAAGGAATGTCATCCAGAGGGACCTTGACACGCTTGTGAGGTGGGCTGATGCCAACCTCATGAAGTTTAACCATGCTAAGTGCAAGGTCTTACACCTGGGTCGGAGCAATCCCAGGCACAGCTACAGGCTGGGCAGAGAAGAGATTCAGAGCAGCCCTGCAGAGAAGGACTTGGGGGTGCTGGTCAATGAGAAAATGAACATGAGCCAGCTTCAGTGTGCGCTTGCAGCCCAGAAAGCCAACCGTATCCTGGGCTGCATCAAAAGGAGTGTGACCAGCAGGTCGAAGGAGGTGATCCTGCCCCTCTACTCTGCTCTTGTGAGACCTCACTTGGAGTATTGTGGGCAGTTCTGGTGACCTCAACATAAAAAGGACATGGAACTGTTGGAACAAGTCCAGAGGAGGGCCACAAAGATCAGGGGACTGGAGCATCTCCTGTATGAAGATAGGCTGAGAAAGTTGGGGCTGTTCGGCCTGGAGAAGGCTGCGTGGAGACCTCATAGCAGCCTTCCAGTATCTGAAGGGGCCTATAAGGATGCTGGGGAAGGTCTCTTCATTAGGGACTGTAGTGATAGGACAAGGGGTAATGGGTTAAAACTTAAAACAGGGGAAGTTTAGATTGCATATAAGGAAGAAATTCTTTCCTGTTAGGGTGGTGAGGCACTGGAATGGGTTGCCCAGGGGGGTTGTGAATGCTTCATCCCTGGCAGTGTTCAAGGCCAGGTTGGATGAAGCCTTGGGTGTCACGGTTTAGTGTGAGGTGTCCCTGTGCATGGCTGGGGAGTTGGAACTTGATGATCTTAAGGTCCTTTCCAATCCTAACTATTCCATGATTCTAACAGGCTGTGCCTTTGCCATTACTGTGAAAATTTACTCAAACGATGTTTCACAAAAATCACAGTCTGCCTGTAATTGACGAAGTTTTTTTGAGCTCAAAGATTTTAGGCAGCTGAACTCTAAGGAGATACTGTATGACAGGGATGTTGGTTGGTTGTTTATTTGGCGTTTATTTTGTTGGGTTTGTGGTTGGAGTTTTTTTAAGATGTCACCATTCTGAAGGTGGTAGCTTCTTTTCCATTTTCTCCATTATGCAACGAATTGCAAAACAAGGACTGAACTCAATTATTATGAAAGCCTAGAAACTATTTCCAAAGACATATTAATTGCTATGTCCACTGCAGCAGTACGTCCATAATTAACTTAGCTATTGTAGTACTCAGAAAAGAAGAATGCATCCTGAACAATTTGGTAGGTAATATTTTCCTACATTATTATTTATAAACACTTATTATAAAATAATAGAATAAAAAATTAGTCCTGAATAAGGGTCAGTTATACTTCCTCAGTTGTTTGCATATTCAAACACTCTGGAGATTATTCACAGAACCCATCTCTTACGAGTCGATGTCTGGGAATGAAAGAAGAAATATGAATTTCTACCTGCTAATTCGTCTTCTGTGTTCCCAGACACTGACTCATGTTAACCCACCCACCAGACCAAACTGCAATACAGCATTTCTGTTGTTACAACTTTTCCCAGTTACATATTCAAGATTAAAAGAATCAAGACCCAAAAAAACATTTAAGGGCCTAATTAGGAATTTAAGAACTTGACTTGGATATTTAAAATATTGGCCAAGTATCCAATACCGAATGTGTAATCTGGAAAATTTGTAAGAATGGAAATCTTATATTATCCCCATGTTCAGAGAGTGAATGTTGTGAGTCAGTGTCTGGGAACACAGAGGGTGAATTAGAAGGTAAAAATTCATATTTTTGTATTAATTCCCAGATATTTGGTAACCTAAATGTGGATTCAGGCCAAGATTTTTCAAAAGAAGGATCCTGAACTTAAGCTCCAGAAACCACATGTAGGGGACTGTTTCATTTCCAGCAGTGCTGAGACTTGGCAGCTCCCACTGAGGTCAATGCCTATTGCTCAGTACTCAGATGGAAGCACCATGCAGGTACCTGATGTGTATTATATATGACAAATTTCTGTAGCTTTGAAGGATCTGATTCTAGGCTGTAATACAGTATGTGATGCAGAAAAGCACATTACAACCCTTTACAGTTATAGTCAGCAACTGAATTTATCTGGAAATGCCCTAAGATAGCAACATTCATCATAGCTCATTAGCAACAGGTATACTGTAAACCTTATGAAAGTATTAGCTACCACAAAATGCATCAGTGCCTCAAACAACTCATGAATTCAGATTAAGTAAAGTAAGCTACTCTGTATTATCCACACCTAGTTAAGCAGCTTCATCTTTGCTGACAGTTACTGTAATACTATTTAATGTGATGCTTTGGGTTTGCCAATGTATTTGTATTGTTTTCAGCATAAACATCTTCATTACACTTGAAATGTTCTCTCTTGTAAGTGGCCTCTCACAGCTAATTTCACATGCTCTTCAAATGGGCTTTGTGTTCTTATAGAGGATAGAGTACTTCTGAGTTACGTAATCCTGGTCCATCTGGTGGTATCGTTTGGTTAACATGGATCTGATCTTCTGTACAACTGATAATTATTTATACCATTTGCTAAATCTGGCCATTTTATGATCTTAAATGCTTTCAGTCGTATATACATAGGGGAAAAAAAGCATAATGTTATGTCAAGGATTAAAAATAGCCATTTTGTATTAAAAAAAGACTTAGAAAACAAATAATGAGAATGCACAGCTCTGAACTGTAAAGATTACCTCCATGGTTCTCCTCTTAATTAAAGTTATTTCAAAGTTCTTCCACTCCCAGCGCTGCTCCACAACATGGGCAAAGATGACATGTCCATTACCACATGCGCCAGCTAACTGAGTGCCATCAATAGACCAAGCAATATTATATATGCTGCCAGTGTTTGGTTTCTCTAAAGTGTAAGACCACTTGCAGAAAAAGAGAAAAGAATTGTTAATGCTTTTAGTACTTTTTGGAAATGATTCATTGTAATAAATAGATTTGCAGGTTTACATTTTTTTAAGAAATGTCAATGAACTAATTTTTTATTATTGCTTGACAAAAGAAATGTCTTAAGCCAGACTCTTAACAAACAGGGATACAAAAAGGAAAGCCATCAGGTATGGCAGAAATGAAATATGTCACAATGCCTAAAGTACATTAACTAGAAGTCATCTAGTCACAATACACTGAAAGTGTACTCATTATAAATCTAGACTATCAATACATAAAAATTAAACAAATGTACTTAGAACCAATTATAGTGGTTACACAAGTGCAAGGGGCTATGGTCATAACTGTAATGAATTCAGTTTATGCTGCAGTGAGATCACTTCCTGAATACAGAAGGAGCAAGGCCTGGGCAAAATCAGACTACTTAGACAAGGTACTCCTATCCCAGCATACAGAGAATTGCAAAGCTCTTGTGTTGCTTCTCTGTGCTTCCAACATAAGGGAATTGGTGGATTAGGAAAGCTCTGAAAGCAAAGCCTGAATACTGTTCTCTTCCTAACACAAAGCAGCTTGATGCCTTGCCTACCTTTTTCTCTAGTCTCTGTTGATGTACAGGGGAAGGATGTATTAAAAATCTTCAGTTGCTATGCTTTCAGTAAAACCCACAGATTCAAACAATACTGCAATCAAAGTGGTGACACTGGGTCTAGCTCCGGAGAGAGCTAGAAACAATAGTTCTGTGCATTGCATTCACCTTAGACTTGTTCAGAGGGGCTCACAGAGGAGTATCACAGTTTGATGTTGTGAAGGAACATGTCAAATAACTTTATTTCAGAATCCTATTATCAAAGCAAGCAGTGTACCCGCTTTCCTATGCAGCTACAAATTCAAATAGTAGACAAAACTTTCTGTATTGTGTATTTGCTAACTGGGTTGTGCAAGGTGGAAAGGCTTCCTTGGACCCAAATAATGCATTTCTGTGTACTATGGCCAGTATCTTCCTTCATCTTCTACTACTGGTTTACATCTTCTACGGCTATTAAAATACGGTTATCACTTTGGTTTGCTGCTTTTTAAATGGAGGCCCAAATTTGTTTGGCTAAGAGGAAGATGTGAAAGCAGCAGTTACAAACCTTGAAGATCAGTAGGGATTCAGGGACCAGGAGACAGGCAGCTAGCCAGCCTCTGGCAAAGGATACCAGAGATTACACAGCAGTTTATGAATTGCGGGCTGGCTCATTCAAGACGCTTTTAATAAAAATAACTAAGGAGCTTTATACTCTCTAGCAACAGCTTGTAAGTTGCATCTAACATTTTAATTCCTTGTCTGCCCCTCCTCAGGATGCACTGCCCCACATCCTGCCCACGCAGCAGTCTGGAATTGCCTGCTCCAGTGCAATGAGGTTGCAAAGGCAGAGGAAGACCATTAATGAAGCAGCATGTGATTTCTTAACTTTTGACACCCTCTCATATTTTCAAGCTGTTAGCATTGCAAAGAATAAAATTATAAACTGCTCTAGAACAAAGAACAAGGAAGAGGTATTAAACTGAGCATTTGCTTTTTTCCTTCTGATCCATGGCATGAATGTAGTTATGAGAAAAGCTTCCATTTATACTAAATCTAATTTTATTCCTTTTTAATATTTGAATTTCTTCCAACAAAGAACGTTATTCCTAAATTCCTCCAGCCTTATATATGAGACTTCCCTACATTTTATCTGGATACTTATTAATACACTCTTGTAAAAAACTGTAGAATTTTCAGACCATAATATACATCTATTAAAACTAGAAGAATTTTCTGACCAAGACACTTGTTTTCTTTGTCTTGTATAGCAGAAATACAGTTCATACAAATCATCCCGAATCTCCAAACAACTGCTTCCCTGACCATGGATAACAACAAATTAAATAACCTTTTCAAGGACTTTTAGGAAGGCATTAAATCAGGTTTTAAAACAGAAAGCAACTCTCAACTCCTGCTTCCTCAGAGCTATGTAATATTTTAAAAAACTTTTAGCAGTTGAAGAACAACCTGTACATTCAAATACATGTGAAATCTTCAAATCAAATCAGTAAGAAAAAACATGACTGAAGTTAAATGTAGATATCGGATTCTCATGACTTTAAGATACATGATATTATACTAAAGGGGAGACAGTTGGAAGAAAATGCTCACCTAATGTATCTAACACATTTCATATTCTGATTTCTTTTGCAGTACACATAAAACCCAAGAAACAGTAAGTCTCTCACACAAAGTCGTCATGAAATCAGAATTACAGTAAAATAAAGGTGTCCGATTTAAACATTCAATAGCTAGGAAACACAATGGGATGAAATTCAACCTTCCAGTAGTGCTAATGATTTGGAGAATACTATATAAGATGACTTCCTGAATTTAGGCTCTTTTACTGCCTACGCGTGTAAGAGAGGGTGAAAGACAATGTTGGCACTGACTGAACTTCCAATTTCAAGCACTCAATTTTAAGGGTTCAGCTTCCATGCCTCTTGGCTGACAGACATGCCATTCCCTGTCTATACGATCTGCAGATGGGGAAGGCAATTGCAATTTTTGGAGAAAAGGCCACAACTTAATTCTTCTGTCTCAATGGCCTGAATTCTGTATGAAACATTCTATAGTAATTAGAAGCACACTATTTAACTGTCTGACATCCTTACAAGGCTAATGAGTAAGCTCTTGAGGTTGTAGAAGAAGTAACAGTAACAAGCACACTCAGAGAACACTCTATAAATGTCCTGCATTTGAGAGATATTTTTCACAGCTGGCCAGATGTGATCTGTCCGAGAACAGTTTCAAGCAGTACTATTTCAAAACTGAATATTGGGATCCTCCCCAAAAGACAAGGATGTTTCTAAGGTCATTTCCCTTAGATCAAGAATCTACCCATCAGTGAGAATAAAGGGGCATCAAGCCATCAACCAAGAACCAATTTAGGGAGCTTAAAGAATGGTGCTTTGGTGCTGCTACTTTGTGTACAGCAAATACACTGCAGCTCGGAGAGAATACATTTCCAAAACTACTTTTTTAAACCAGAAGTCTTCTTTCCAGGTACTTGAAATACTCTGTAAAATGTTTCCAGATTACAACCTTTTTTTTTTTTTTTTAATATATATAAGGCAATTAAAGTTTTATTTTCCAGTTACTTCTGAAAGCTCTCAGTATAATTCAGACAACTCCAATGATTCATATTCTCTGTAGAAGGCGGGTACATTTATCATGTACACAAGATGTAATAAAAATCATTTAGCTCTCCATTTATAAGATAGAACAATTAAAAAAAAACCAACAGAAAGTATCTGTTGGGTATTTCCTAGATACACTGAGTTTAAAAAGAAAAAAAAAAAAAGAGAGTATGCATATGACTGTATGAATGTTGTTCTAACATTAACTGCAATATTATACTGTGGTATTACTGTTTGGCTTATACTTTTCCACCATCATAATTTTTAATTTAAATCAACAAAAACCAAGAACAAAACTAGTAGTTATAAAAGTTCCATTATATTAAATAAATACATAAACGCAATAACTTAAGCTTCCCTTTTCCGATTGCACAATGTAGTGTAAAAGATTAAGTAATATGGTCATTGAATACTGTCTGACTTCCACGAATAGAAACTGAGTAGGCTTTTGAGATGTTGGTGAAATTATTTCAAGGATCAGATTCAGAGAACCCTGTGTCCTAGGAACAAGGACGGTCTTTTTCACAGCCACAATACTGATGCTCCAAGACTCAGCACAAAAGATGTAGTTAGTTATTATTTCTGGACTGAATGAAGTAAATTAAAAATGGTTATCCCATAATAGTTTTGAAAAAATACATAGTGAAGATGGAGTATTTTCTTGTATTTTAAATTATAAGAGTAATACTGATGTCAGCTGTGCAAAGGACACTGGCTTGTCTCTGTTTCGGCTCCATATGTGGAGTTTTGAACAGGGAATACTGACATAAGCTGAGCTAAAGCTGATACTGATGAACCTCCCCATGATGTCAGAATCTACATAGCATACCTAATCCACTGACTTTAAAAACAATCTGTGGCTATCATTTTTGCTTTTTTTTATGAAAAGAAAATGTGCAATCTCCCCTACAATCCATTCCAGGAATCAAAGTGCAGGACGGACTAACAGCAAATACATGCTCCTCTTCTTCTATGTCCCAACTGCTACAAACCATGATGATTATGCTAGAAACAGCCTCTCATCCAAGGCCAACACAGAAAGGTTCAGGTCCTCTGAAACTAAGGACCTCTATTCTTCTTTTATTTTCCTTTTTTTTTTTTTTATTTTTTTTTCTTCTCTCTCTCCAGTGAAGGGTCAGTTTTCCTTGTGTCCCACAGGGCATTCCACATTAGTGCAGAGATAGCTGGCTTGTGAAAATATAGTCAGAATGTCCATTAAAAGTTGGCAATCAACTCTCACTACGCCTGAGCGATGAACTGACACTTCAGTGCAAACTGCCCAGGAACTTCTCCTCAGAAAATGACTATTAATTCTCTGATGCAATGGAGAGCAAATTGAATCTTACAAGATTAAAAAAATCAATTATACAAAGCAAATAAATACTTAAGTTTCATTAGAAACACCAGAATAAGCACAGGTATCTGGAGTTAGCTTGTGGGAAATATATATGTATGTAGGTGTATATACATACCCATCCTGTCCCCCCACCCCCTCCCAAAATTTTACTAAGTATAATAAGTAATTTACAGTTTAAGACTTATTAGGCTTTTAATTCCTACCCCACAGGATTCCACAAAATACTCTACAAACCACAGACAGTATGTCTAACAGGAGGTAAGGAAATCCAGTGCTACATGTGAATATAGGGCAGTTTACCTGAAGAGGAGAAACTATCCTTGACACAGCTACTGAAGTATAGAACTATGAAGGATTCCTGTTGCTGCTTTAAACTTTTGTTGGACTTGACCCCAGTAATTAATGTGAATC